GAGGCCATGAAATACGCCTGCGATTTTGTCAGCTTAGAAAAATTTTGTAAAAGTGATAATATTTGTGAGACCTATGTTTCAAAAAGATAGATTGTTGAGCTGAAGATTGAAGAGAGAGAGATTATTAGAAAAGGATTTTCCTTGTCACAAAAAAGGAGATTACTACAGATCTAGATAAACAATTACATGTACGAGTATAAGGAAGGAAACTGATACCCTGCGAACCATCTATGACGAACAAAGTTTATCTGTTATAACCACTAAATAGAGAGCAGGTAATTTAATGAAATGCGACCGGCTAACTTCTCTATTGATAGGAAGGCATCAGCCACAACCCCAACAATATTAAGGGATAATCTTAGGCATAGAAAAGCTTTTTGTAAGGCCTGCTTCTCCATATTGGTTGAAGCCAAGCCAACACGCTGTTTGTCTTGCACATGTAGGGGTCATCTATCTCTATGCTGTATCCCATCAGAAGTTCTAATGATAAATAGCACAGATTATTTGAAGGTATTCAGTGCTACGCCAAGTGATGCAGAAGGACACTTTGCTCGTATGCGACCAAAGAAGGCTCGTGAAATGAATTTACAACAACTTTTAACTTTCAACTTTCAACTTTATTCAGTTTTTCAATCGGCCACCTCTTGGCAAGATTATAAAAGTTGGGAGGATGAAGGTCATTTTGTTTATTGGCGAGTAAGTATGCAAGTGAGTGGCATACTCTGATACAATTCATATTATTAGGACACTTTTGATAGTAGGTTCCGTGTTAATTTCTAGGGCTACAAAGCACGCAAAATGCGCAAAACATTTCCGTCATCTCGGCACACTTAGTGCAAACTCATCATTCTTTGATGCCGTCATCGCTTGCGCGGCTCTTATTTTAAATCCCCAGATGAAGATATGACATATGCAAAACTGTTGTTCTTGATTTTCTTCAGAAGCAAACCACTAATATTCGAATCTTCCCTTTCATTATTCCATGATTTTCGGTTCTTTTTTCAAAGACTAAAAAATCGATGAAAATTTTTATTTCATGTAGCCTAAACGTTTTTGGCAGTTTTCTGCTACGCCTTCACGGATCGATTCATAACAATAACGCTTATTCGAAGCAGAAAATTCGAGCCCTTATAAATCAAGAGTAACTGAAACACGCTAAGACAGTTTTGGATTTCTGCAGAGTCACTGTAATTAAACTTCCTGAACTCTTCGATTTTGTGAAGTCGTGCCACTCTTGAAAGCTGAACACGTATTTATTTACCACTCGCGGAACATGTTACCACATATTTTAACATGCGTACAGCTGCGCACTTCTTTGTCTGTTTTTTTTTTTCCAAGGGAGGAGTAGGAGGGGTCACGCAGGACCAACGTAAATAGAGCACAACAAGAAAAATCGCATATCATCTCTCAGTGAGCTTATTCCATCATTATTGTAGCACGAGGAAACAAAATGGCTCCATAGGACTCTGTTAATAATAATTCAGTCATCTTTGCAATATTTTTTGCCACGTCTATGGTCGAACGAATGTTTATCACGCATGCATTTCGAAATCAATTAATGAGGTGAAACTTAAACCACAAAGACGTATTGGTCAGGAAGCTTTGTGATCCACTGTATTTATTACATCTTAAGGAAGCCAGTGCTTAAGTCTGAGTAACTTGCTCTCAGGCGTTCTTCGTTAAGGAAAGTTGAGAACGTCAGAACAGTTCTAGATTCGGCCGTGAGAATTATTTAATTATTTGTTCACTGTTTTCTGACCGACCTGCTCGCCGATGCAATCAAGTTTGAGTATGACATTTACTGAATTGAGAAACTGCTCCAATGCAGCATAATCTTGCACTCTTTACCTCTTGATAATCTTAAAATCAAAATTATAGAATTGAATAACAAATCTGCTAAAGCGAATAGATAAAGGGTACACCGTGATGTACAAAGATGCAGACGGCATTAAGGTCGCTTTTTCCTGTTTGGCTTAAACATCACCACAACTTCGGCTCTTTTAGAATTGATTATGAAGTACAGATGTCTGATATCAAGAATTACATCGTGAAAGTTCCGCAAAACATCAATTTGCAGCGATAATCTTTAAATCAAACCAACAGAAATGAATAACAAATCTGCTAATCCGAATACATAAAGGACTACTATTTTCACTGTGGTGTACAAACTGATGGATGCTGACGGCATTAAGTTAACGTTCGCTTTTTCCTGTTTACCTTGAGCACCACCATAACGTCGGCTCTTTTAGAATTGATAATAAAGTACAGTTGTCTGATATCAAGATTGAAATCAGTGAAAGTTCAGCAAAACATCAATACGCGGCGGTAGATGATTGAAAAAATGAGAATACAAACAAACAATCCTAACAAATGGGAGCAGGCTAGAATTCGAAAGCAATGATCTCAACAAGCTAAAATTTTAATCCGTATTACACAAGTTCTTCCATCTGAATTTCACGTGACTTCTTCGTAAAGCGCATTTCATACAAACGGTACAAATTTTAATTATGAGTAATAACAATTTCACCTTGATAATAAAACACGCTTTGGGAGTCCTGAATTTATTTTTAGAGGATTGTTCAAACGTTACCCTAGTTTTCGAGAAAGAGAAAACATTGCAATCAAGGAAAAACTTAGCCTTCTCATACGGTCTACTGCTTCTTTTCGGCACGTGCGTCGGTTTTTACGGTTATGATTTCTCTCCCACAAGTTCAAATTGAAGGATGGAAACTTCCGCTGACTCATTGCATAAGTAAGCAGAATTTCTGTTATAGTCCACTGCGGGAGAGAAAACTTTAAGAGTTGCTTTTATCCATCCGCACTTTAATACTATTTCACTCAGAGAAAACAATCCGTATTGTCTATCATACAATTAATAATAACATCTTAAAGCTGCCAAAGACCAACGTGTTGGGGTACCTGGCACCGATTATGGAACCTTGATAACGGACAAAATTAGATCGGTGCTATCTTTTAAGGTGTTTAAAACAGCGTAAGAAAATTAGACTTTCTAGGTCTATCTTATTCGTATTTTCTTTTTTTTTATTATTTTAAGGTGACATTTAGATTTTGAAGTCGTGTTGATATTTCTTGTAACGAAATTTTTTATGGAAATTTTATTACTCAACCGAAACAAATTTTATCATTAAGTTTCATTTACTCATTCTATTTATTTCATTTGAATTAGTCTTCTGTGTAATACCTGCAAACTAACACGTCTTCAGAAAATCGAATTGGTCAGGAAGTTGAGTTAAAGTGACTCTGCGGAAATCCGAAAGTACCTTCGTGTGTTTCAGCCCACGCCTGATTTACAAGGGTTTTTCATCAGTGCTAAGTGTATTTTCACGATAACCCACTATGTATCTTAAAAGTCTTGAGGTCCACTGTTTCTTTCAGTTTCAATCGCCGCGGCTTTTGCGATTGTAATTTTCCTTTCGTAAGTTTGAGGTAATTTATGTAAACTTCAGCTGACTCACTGCATAAGTATCATTGTGGCAGAGATATTTTAAGTATTAAAGGTATGCATTGTTAAGGTTCCTGTCAACAGCTGGGGTCAAAGTCACTGAGGCATCGATTAAACTGTTGAAGTTACCCCTTACACAGACTGAATTTTAAATTGTTAATTTTTTACACCTCCAAATTCACTTATTTTTCTCTAGTTGATTACAGCTGAGGGATTGGGAAAGACAAAAATTAATGTGAACGCACTGTAGAGACCTTACACTAGATTGTTTCAAGGTAGATCAGGAAAAAAAGCATACGCGATTCTTAGGATTCTAGATCATATTTCATTAGCACTGGCTGACCTAAGCTCAGCTAATTCCACAAGTCTTGTTCATCGTTTTTACGGCTTCTTTTTCAGCGCATTTTATCGTGATTTTTGTGTCATGTATAGGTGATGATATGATATGCCTCAGTGTAAAAACAACGATCGATATCCGCCAGACTGACTCTTAAGTCCATATCAACACTGAGGGAGAGCAGTGTTGAGCTCAGTGATTGGAAAAAGTCCTAACGAAAAGAGACCTTTTTATTTTTAAGAATGAGAGGTGAAATTTTTAGAGATACGACCAAAATATTTTGACCTTGTATCTACTTTACAAAGCACGCACGGTCAGGTTCTGTTTTGACTCGTCAAGCGCTCTCCTAGAACTGCACCGGTGCGTAATGTAAAATACTAATTATGATGCAACAAACAAAGATATCTGGCATTCGTTGTAAATGCTCCAAAAGACCTTACACAGTTCAAAAACCTCATCGAAAAAAATCTAACAGACACGTACTAAAGTCAATAAAAGCCCTTGCATGAGCTTACATTTTGTTTTATTTTCATCTGGTGTACATGATATCAAAAAGGACATTGGAAAAGGACACGTAGATTTCTGCTATTCATCTTTTTCTCGTTAACTTACGTTTTCCATTTCATCACTGCACCGGCATCAATTGTTGTCGATGGTCATTTTATCATGAGCTATTTTAAAACTTTTTGAATTACAAGTGGTTTGAACGGTGATGCAAATATCTTCAAGTTAATTTTCCCTTCCCACGTATCATGATGGTTTGTATCAAAATAGATCATTGTAGTCCAGAAGAATAGACCGTGATAGGCAATATATATCTGTGGTTGTATCAATCAGAAATGTACATTTCTAGTACGCAGTTTGTTATAAAGTTGTAAAGAGGAATCTTGAAAAACTGGAAAAAACCGAATTGGAAGACCTGTCCATAAGAGTATATAGTAATTTAGTGTTAACAACTGAATTGAAAATGTTAATTGACCACCGTAAGGAGTTTAAAGTCTGACGTTTCGAGCGTTAGCCCTTTCGTCATGGCGATGGACGACAGCTAACGCTCGAAGTGTCAGCCTTTAAACTCTTTACGATGACCAATTTACATTTTCAACTTAGTTGTGCACACTAAATTACCTGTTATACTCTCCCATCGACGCAGCACCACAGTTTCTTCAGAAACTTATCCCCTTTCTTCATAAGAGAATATAGTTATACAGATGTAGAGGCGTCAGAAAACTTTACATCCTGAGGGATAACATCCTTAGCGACAGTCTCATATTGGCAAGATTCGTTGTGGCCTGGTTCTATAGGTTTAAAAAGACAAAAAAAAGAAATTAAAAAGATGAACTCTATAGCTGGTTGGACTGACTTTGGGGTTTTTAAGGAAGTTAAAGAAAAATCAAGCAAAAATAAATTTGATTTATTTGAGGAGATGTGAGTTTTCTTCTTCCCCTCTGCTCAAATAAAAGTTTAATATGGCCCAATCCTTTTCCTCTCCAAGGTAAAGGGAGGCGGGGGATTAGTAAACTATCCTAATTTAATTTCATTTGATTTACGTAATTAAATGCTGTCTTAGAAACTATATTTATCCCAAAAAACGCCGCGATGTTTGGCTGTGTATTCCGTAAACCACTGTCTATTTTAGCGTAAATTATATGGCTTACCTTCCATCCATTCATTTAAGTTGACAACTCTTAAGTCATCACAATACGTCAGGTTATTGGACCCACTCCTCTCGCGGAAAACATTTGGGGTAATTTTCAGAATTCCATCCGAGTTGTCGCACAGAACTCGAGCTAGAGTTGCATTTCTTATTGCATTCAGCTGACCTGTGGTAAATCCAGTGTAGGAATCGTTCCTCTCGTACCAAAACCGGTCTCCAACGCGAAGATTTTCAAATCCTCTGGTGAGAATACAAGAGAAAGTTCCACCTAGTATGCTTCCTGGTAAAGGGGCCTCACTTACTCCCCCTACATACAAGTCTATGTCGTCTACGTTATCATTGTATGCCATTCGTAGTCGTTCCCTCTGTGTCGCGTTTATGTTCGTGAGATCGTCAATGGACGCGGCACGCACCAGACCACACATACCCCTGAACTGATTGTATGGGGGTAAACCGTGATCACGGCCACGTTGGATGTTTATGGCGGCGAGATCGCCCACGATACCTTCAAATGTTGAGCCTTTCATCAAGAGGTTCTCTCGCACGGCTGGTGCAAAAAACCTGAAAGGTATAAATGTTTTAAATATCACTACGCCGTATTCAGATTTCGTCTCTTGTTTATTGGCATCATCTTCGTTTCTCGTTCATTGACATCATCGGTCCCACAGGCCGCCGTGGGTACCATTGGGTTCTTTCGACTGCCACCCTGTTATTTTGTGAACGTTATTATTTTTAGGATTTGAGGTATTCTAGTAATCATTGTCCTCACTATCTTGCGGGTTTCTCTGGGCCTCTGCTTATCTAAGCTATTAATTTATCACTTAATTTATCAAAGGGTCTTATCATGGATTCTCTGATTCTGCCGATAGGAGCTATTCCAGGCATCTCCATAGTAAAAGTAGAAAAGATACACCTACCTATCCACTTTTTGAGACGTTTGAGTCACAAGTCCTAAAAGGATTCCAGTCAAACCATTACCACTCTGTGCATACAAAGGTGACGGGTCGAAGAAAGCTTTGGTTGAAATTGACCCACGCTGTCTGAATTGCCTACCAAATTGTCCCAAGTTGTCTTTTATTAAGGTGTGACCGACCCTCAAAGCTGCCGTAGCAAAGGCGTTCGTTATTTCTGGGTTAACTTGCGAGTTATAACCACTAAAAAAAGTGTCTTTTGGTTCTAGTAAGATGTTTGCACGTCTTCGCTGAAATAGAGACAGAGATAGGGTACATAAGGTACAGTTAAGAAAAGATGTGTTATTCTTTTACTCCCAAGATATGATTATTAATTCTCCCCACTAGCTGCTACACATTTCCTTGTAAATTTGGTGTTAGATTTAGATAACAACTTTCACCTGGTAAGTTCAGTTGCGCATTCTCATTACAAGTTTAATTTGTCAAGAATAAAGTAAATGATATTATGGGGAGAAGTTTCACGGAGAATTTACATCGCTTCGGGGAGATAAAGTGTTCGTGAAGTTTAAAATGGCGAGGATGACCTTGCACAACCTAGCCGTACCCTCCCCCTCCAAGGTGAAATGGAAGCGAGGGAACGTCTACGAAAATCGTGTTTTGTGACGTCACTCTCTTGTAAGAAAATATATAATAACTTTTTATTGGTTAACCCCTTTTGCCGATTCTTTCTTGAATTCTGATTGGCTAGAGTTGGTAATTTATTTTCAAACTAATGAACAAGGTGGTGAACAGAATGCTCTCCTAGTCAACTTTTCAGACAACAGCGACCTACGGCGAGGTTTTCAAGGCAAGTTTGCGCGACTTTTGGGATAGGGACATTTTAAGAAGAACAGCAGAAAGCTATAGATATGTTTTTCGAAGGTAACGATGTCATTTAGACACTTACCAGATCTTCATTGAAAAAGATAGGGAGCCATTCGTTATATGTTATGTGCTGTAACTTAGCGATCACAATTTTTCGAGCCTCTTGGAATAGCCTCTCATCTTGCCATGATGGATTAAGAACATGAAGATAGTTTGCGATACGATTGTGTTCGCGAGCCCAGATTGTGTGCATGGCCACCAATGCTGTAAACAATTCATAGAGATTTGCCATTTTTTAAAGTAAATATTGGAAAGGCACAGAAAGAAAAGTTTAAATTGATGACAAAGAATAGGCTTTCCCAACAATATCGTGTTTTTTGGGGGACAGCAAGTAATCTGTTCAGCTTAGGAACCGTCCATTATTTATCACCTGGGTGGGGTCGGAGGAATTTTATTGTGTCACGATAAAATTAACGTAATTCCCCCTCAAGGCTCTGTTATATCCTTATGATCCCAGCCTCTTGGCAGTCTGTTTTCTACAGTCCCCAGTTACATTCTGTTTGTGGTGACTGATTCCCCTCCTCTGTTCTCCTGAAAACCATGTGATTACCCAAACCCCCCCCCCCCCTTTGAAAGCTATAAATATGAAAATTTTTCTTCATCTATCATTCAAACCATCATTTACAGGGATATTCTAATGCAAGAGGAAATATGAACACATCTCGTAAAACGTGTAGTACCAATGCCCGTCAACTAGAAATGCGATATTCGTTAAGAAAGGAAATTTACGTTACCTGGGTTTTCATTTACTCTTGCATGGTCGCCAGCCAAGAAACAAGGCTTTTTCGTAGGATTATGAGACCTACAGAATGTCTGCGCCTCAGCTTTTGGCAGGAGAGGAGATTTGGCGGAGCTCAATGGGAATGAAGCAACTCGAAGAAGACCAAGGTTAGCTGTGCGGTCACGAAGGAGATCAGCTTCTCTTCTGTTTGCTCCATATATCTGGGATCCATCAATGAAAGCTGACACCAAATTTACCTGAATATATTTAAAAGATAAGATTATTGAAATTTGGATAAATGTGAAAACATTGGCTCGTTTTCTCTAATATCAACTGTTGCCGTTTACAAATGTAAAGTATGAATTACAGCTAATTGTTAGAACAGTATTTTAGTTTAATGAAAAAATTTTGTTAAAAAGAGGTACCCAAAAAGGCAGGCAAAAATTAAAAATAAAATTTAATAGAATGTGCGAAACTAGCCTTCTATGTGTCTACTTTCTACTTATGCGCCACAATAATGTATCCAGCGGTCTTCCACCAAACCGCTACATTCAAAATGGAGGTCGGCGGGATTATGTAACCACAGTAAAACTCAGTTGTGGACAAAGCATTCGAAAGACGCCGAGGAAGAGATCCTTTCGACGAAAATATCTTTGTAGTAAGCCTGTGAAAGAATTTCTTGCATGGTCTCACTGAGTTGGCCACAAAAGTTGCGAGTTGAAGTTGTTGTTTGTTGTTTCGTAAATTTCGATGTGGGACCCAAAACAGACAAATGGAAAAGTGCAGAATTTCGTTATTATCATACAACTGAGGTCTTAAATGTGGCCCTGTAGTTAAGGGATCCTGATCTGTTAAAAGTCGTATAGTCAAGAGGGGGAAACTTGGAAGTGTTTTTGCTAGCTATGCAGCGCTCACGCAAATGTCGCAGTTAGTGAGCAAAGGGACGTAAAGGAAGAACACATGAGATCAAGGTAAGTTTGTTTTAACATTGGAATTTACGAAGTCGGGGATTTTATGGTAGAAAATTGTACTACTATTCATGGGGAAACTTAACATGATCTTACATCTACAAGGTAAAGGTCCCGGTTGTTCGAAGGGTGAATATTAATAACGCTATCCACTGGATAAATCTTTATCTGGTGGATAGCGTAGTACTTTTCCTTGACACTTAACCGCTGGATAACGATTTATCCGTAGGATAGCGCTATCTGCTCTTTAACCCTTTAACCCCTTAACTCCCATGAGTGACCAAGACAGAATTTCTCCTTACAATATCAATGCAATATCAACCAGATAAGTGATGAGAATAAAGAAATTATCAATTTGGGGATAATTAGTTGATCCAATGCTAAATTCTCTGAACTAACATTATAAGGATTGTGTGGTTGACAGTAAGGAGAATGACAAATTTGATCTGGGAGTTAAAGGGTTAAACAACTGGACCCAAGACTTTAAATATCTTCATGCTGCCTCTAAAACACTTCAGATAGTGATGATAATACATCACACAAATAAATTCATGACTGGCTTTTAAATTTTTCTGCTTGGCTAGCTCAGTGTTGATCAGGATCTATTGCTGTTTGCCTTCACTGAGAAGCCAAGGAGAAACAGAACCGCTCCTTTTTCCACTTGAATTACAGATGAGGAACTGTTTTGACAAATGAGGCAAATGTTCCAGAAAACAATAAGTACAGAAATTGCAACTGGACTGTGGTGTACAATTGTTTAATGTTATAATGAGATGTAATGTGAAATAAAGTTAACTGAATTTAGTTGAAAACAGGGACTATAAAGTAATGGGCATCCAAAGGAATTTAGTCTTTACAATTTTATGCATGGAGTTTTTCATTAGTGGGTGAAAATTAAAGCTCAGCACTTGACAATTTTGACAAGAGAGGGAAATCAATGTTTGCATAAAAATGCAACTTTGGCAAAGAACTTTAGCAGCAGTGTTAACAACTGTAGCAGTGAGAAAAAAAACTTGGAGATCATTGGGTACATGTAGTTACTACTTGCAACCCTATACTTGAGCTTTAGTCCAAAAATCTAACATAAAAACAATTTTTTCATGATCAAGTCAGAATTTACTTCTTTCATCTTAATCAGACTTTGGTGAGTTACTTGTAGTCTGAACCTCAGCTGTCATTCAGCAGATGCATGCTCATGGAATCTGAATGAACTCACACTGGGTCAGTCCAAGTTCAGGCAACATAATGGACAACATAATGCTTGGTCTTCTTAGATCATAGATGATGGTCTTCATCACAGAGGAAGATTAGGTATGTTCTTATCCTTAAGCTACATATATTTATTTGTCAAATTTAGTAATTTTGCTAAAAGTCCATGAATTTAGCTGACAAGAAAATAAACTTATTCTTGTTAAGTATAATATTGTTTAAAATCATGATTATCAACAAAAAAAAACAACAATAAAAACAAGAATGTAATCAAGAGAGTAGCAAAGGGCAATTTACTTCTCGATATGAGATTGATGGCTCATGTTTCTTTCACTGTTTCAGCCTTTTGAGCCGATTTTTCTTTTCATTTTATCTCATTATGTTTACTTATTGTCAGAGCTTAACATGTTTGATAGTATTAGGAAATAAGAATTATTTTGTTTATTGCTATTGGGGAACCACCATCTCGACCTTCTTTTTAAAGTGGTACGTATTTTAAACTTTCAAATGCAATGAAATGAGACTCGAGTTTGTCCATCACTAACCTGTTCGCCGTCTTGTATGGCTGACCGACGCAGTGGAATGCAAACTGCACTTCGGTTATCTTTCAATTCATTCCCCTTAAGTATGTCGATGCCGATGCATCCGTCGTCGTGTCCCCTGCAAGGGAGGCTGTTATTTCCACAATCAGCTGTGTTGTTTTCTTGGGTTAAAGTGATGTCATGATCTAAGAACTGGCCCCACGTCATTGTTACGTGAGTGAAATTCGGTGTCATGTTGTCGTCGTTGCCTGTCGAGCTGACGAACACAATCGTGCTGATGTTCCTTGCGTTCGGAAGTGACTCGTTGTTCGATCCGAGTGTTCGAGGTGCATACGTGCCGTCTTCGTAAGCTGGCGATAAAAGGCGGGCAAACGGTCTGAGGGCACTGCCTTTTGTAATGTTACACAAGTTATTGCACGAGCCGTCATACGTTCGGTAACGACGTCTGAAGCAGATTAACTGAACGGCCAAGGGCACTGGCTCACACTTTTCTGTCAGTATCGATTGGAGGACATCACGCGTGAAGAAATTTCCAACAGATAAAGGGATCTTCCACATTACCATCAGCAAGATAAAACATAGCAGAGACCTGTGTCAAGTTTTTTAAATCAGTGCAAATTCAAAATTTTTCTATGTATAATTACGTTAGGATGAGCACAATCGCTTAAATATTTTAGACCACTTGCATTATTTCTCTTAAATGGTTTTTAACTCTCGCCTGACTTTCCCATCGACTCAATACGAGGTTTATTTTTAAGACAATGTGCACCATTTATATTCAAGACATAACTCCCTAAAAGTTAGCCAGAGAAAGCCTTTTGTTCAAAATAAGTACTCTTGGCTAATCATAGGCACGTCTTAATAAACAAAAATTACTCTTATTTTATAACTTCTCCGTAAGTCTGGAAAACCAGACTTCTTTCTTGGATGAGTCTTGAGAAATAGAAAAAAAAAAAAAAAAAGGAAAAATGAGATCTAAAAAGTTATTTGTGATTGAAAAGAAATATCAACATAATTAACTCAAAATAGAAAACTTAAATCTCTTTTTTTATGCGGCAAACGCTTTTTATGGCGGTGGTTTAGTCATAATGTCTCGATGGCAGACAGGAAAGTCTCTCACATTTCCGCTTCTCTAAACCGCCTATTTATAGAAATAATTTGATCTTATTGACTGAGTCGATAATGTAATTTGACCATCGTAAAGAGTTTCTAAAGCTGATTTTTCGAGTGCAAGCCCTTCGTCAAAATCAATTATCTCGCAATACCCCTACCTACGCAGCACCACAGTTTTATTTATTTACTTTTTTTTTCAGAAACCTACCCCTTTATTAATTTGTTTGAAGAAATGCAAAGCTAGTTATTTAGTTTGCTCGGTAAAAAGCACTTGAGCGGCTATGAAGAAGGCTTAGAACTTGAGTTAATTGCAGATACAAGGGATTTTCTTCGGTGTCTTTCACTTCAACGGCTTTCATTCCGACAAGATTATCAATAAACTACGGAGGTCACGCGTCTTAATTTATACATTACTCAGACTTTACATACGTACATCCGCGAATGAGACCTCATCATCCGCCTTGTCTTTTCGGTTCCACCCACCATCTGACATTAACTGGAGAGATTCGTGGGAGAAGCAGAGAGCTCACAGCACCAGATAGACCCAATCTACGATTTGAGGTCACGGTAGCTCTTGTTCTCATACGTTGTATATAGCTTCACCATTTAAAGTCCATGGGAAATTCTGGAAAGTCATTGGCTTGCGCGTTTACGTTTATGCGCTAATGATTTCCCCCTCATTTCCAAACAATTTATGACCTTAAAGTGGCAATTTTGCCTCAACGAAAACTTATATTTACATCGTCTTTCTCTTGAAAGCTGTTTATGATTTATTCACGTCGCCATTAAGACAATAAATAATATTGAGATGAAGTATCATCCTCGTCGGAGCTGACCACATCATGAGACAAACTATTCTACTTCGCTGCAAGTGTGTTCACAACGATTAACGATTTTTGGCGATAGTATAATGAATAATACGGTATTTTTTGGCGCTATTGTAGATTTTATTTCAAAAATCATTGCTACTTCTTTTAGAGAACTCGGCTAGAAAATTGAAAGGTGACACTCCATGCAGTATTTGAATTTTTGAGTGCCTTCGGCAACGCTTGCGTTGTTTTTCCGTGATTCATTCAATTTAGTCTCCAACCACTATATAGTTCGTTATATGTTTTTTTCTTTTTGTCTTTGATGAATGTGTCGAGGGGGTAAAGAGGAAACGCACAACTCGGTGTTATGTTTATTTGAGGCCAATTCATTGTTGCAAAGGGCCGGTAAGGAGCTTAGTCGACTCTTTGTCTTTTGCATTTGTTGTTTTTGTTCTTCTGCTCTTTCTGTTTGTTACTCTTCTATTTCGCTGATTAGTTCTTCCGTTTTTTTTTTCGTCCTTTCGGTCCGTGCGTCTCTGTTACCTTTCTTTGTTATCTTACTATTTCACCCTTTTGATCTTTTGTTTTTTACTCTACTTCCACTCGTTTTGCCTCTCTAATTTCGTGCCTCAATGGTCTTTTGTCCTTTTCCTAGTTGTTCGTTGGGTCGGTTCTTTTTTCGAGTTAGTTGTATTTTAATGCTGAAAAAGAATGCCTTGGTATAGAAAAGACATAATTTCTCGTGTCTTCTTGGATGTTACGGAATTCTTTCGAATAACACTCCTTGCACAAGTAAGAATCCATGCAAGAAAGCTTTTAAGGTGTCACTGTGTTTTTGATTGCAACGTCAGCATTCTCTGTTACTTGAAAGTCCTCGGAAAACGTAACAAACTGCGCTCATGGCCTAAATTCTTGACACAAAACTCTAAGGCACAGGCCAAAATGATATCGCCAACAACAAACACTTACATACCTCATTAATGCCATCATGTTGAGTTTCCTCTTCGCTTTTTTGTTAAGTTACACCTTTGTAGAAAAAAAAAGACAGAACAAAATTTACAAATATTTCAGTTTGACCTCACATAAACGTAAAAATGTTTGAGAACCACTTCAGGAACATTTATGAAACATAGTATTAACTATTGCTTATCTAACTCTCGAACAAGTGTCAAAAATTATTATAAGTTTTTTCAACCCACCATTGGCACCTAGGAAGGTTTTTTTTTTTCAACTCATTTCATATATAAAAAACCTCACTATGATAAAAGGTTCTGGGCTTAAGTTTCTTGTATTATACCGAGGTGGAAAGAAAAAGTGAGAAAGAAGCCGTTGTCGGCTACCTAGACTCAAGATTAACACGTTACCTTCGCTAAGAAAGCTTGATGGTATTGCCAAATGGAAAAGTGGGGAGTCTAGCTTAAGTAGAGCAAGATCAAGCTCACATAAGCTCACACTTATTCCTGACAACGAACGATAATATTGTTCACTTCGCTGATATTGTTCAATATTAGAAATAATTTATTATATTATAATAAATTATTTCAAATATTGAACAATATCAGCGAAGTGATATTTCCCCCATGCTCCGTTGCACATATGAAGTCCGTACGGCTTAAGCACTAAATATTAAAACGAAAACTGAAGCAACTTTATTTAACTTGCGTTTTCCTAACTAGGAAAAACGAATATGAGGTCCTACATCTTTTAAAGAGCACAATCCCAGTTCGATATTTGTTACGATACATTGTGATTTTATGAATTGTTACGTAGAAGACTGCTTGTATGCACCGTTGAAATCGCTGAACTACTCGTACGTGCTCATGAAGGAAAGATGGAAATTCGCAATATTTTTAAGGGTAGTGTAGTACGATTATAGTAAACAAGTCCAGTTGTTAACTTAACTTCCTAACATGCCTCTGAAACTTGCACAATGCATGTTTTGTTTTCAAAACAAATGTATTTTTGGAAGATCCAGGAAATATTGATTTCAGAATCAATAACATTCGATGTTTGATTCGATCGTTTTAAAGTGACTCGTAAAAAAACAAAAAAAACCACATGAGAGGATTGGTTCGGCATCTGATGCGCGTAACAGAATTAGAAGAGACGATGTTTATTTACAGGCTATTTTTTTGGTAAAAACTCAAACTTTGATGCTTGTGATTAAAACATGATGATAAACGTGTACTTGCCCGACCTTTTTATTTACATTTATCGTTCGTAAGTGGCTGCTAAGTGGAATACCAAATATCTTGCAAATTGGACAAAATAATTTGATTTACAGTCCTTCTTACTTTGACCAGTCTGGTTTTGTCGTCAACATAAAACTTTACGCAAGATATTTTAAGATTTTTTTACCATGATAAACGAATTAAGCATTTTTCTCTTAGCGACCAACATGGATGGAAAATTCTTAAGACCTTCCACTTTCGCATTTTTGCCCAAGGTTCCCATGCCAATACCGAAGTAAACTACTTTTTCGTAGAATCTATAAGATTTGCGTTTTAATCTTTACTATAACTGCCACAAACAGGACAAAAAAGACAATACAATGCCCTAGAAAAAAGCGTTACCCTCGAGATCAAGGATTTACTTTGTTAAGGACACAATCGCGAGCGCTTTCTAACTTAAGTTTCCGCAACTTTAGATAGGTTGTTTGTTATAAATATTAGCCAGTATTTTGTTATAGTGGACGCCGTGATTGCAAAGTGCCAGAGAAAGAGGTATCAATACAGGACACGTGTTTTTGAACATTTTGAGCGTGATTTCAGGCCGTTTATATTGGACTAAACTTGTGCTAGGTCGTTTAGGAAACAATCATGCATTGTAACTGGCGGACCATTATAAGACATTTCTTAGCATCTCGTATACAATAGGGGCCACTGTAAGTTATCTTGACTTCTTGAATAAAACACGCCCCGTGAGGTGTGCGTTTGACTAAGTAGTAATAGTGCGAAGCGTGGATGCGACGTTGCTTTTCCATAAAAATACGTATTGACGCTCTTAAAATCGCGTTTGGCGCCACGCATCCCGTCGTTTTGTTCACCCACCATTCGCCGCGCGTCCCGACGTGTCCAGTGGCACCACCCTTCGATGTCGCCACCCCAAATATGGCGATCTTCCTGAGGGTGTTAGAGATTTATTTCAGTGCCATACGTAGTCTTCAGTTGAATAGAGTTGAAAATGTTTTGTTTGCATATGTTTACAGAGTTTACTTGCATGCATTTGTTTCTTGATTTGGACTAGTTAACACCGAACAAGATTGTATTTTCATATGTTAAGTCCGTGAATTTTCTATGAGCATGCGATTTTTGGTAAAGATGTTGTTAACGCTGAGCGGGTCGACCCTCGCCCTTCTTAGTTTACGAATTTGATCACACCACAGCTCAGTGAATTTGGAAAACGCGTTCAAAGCTTTTAAACTTATGTCAGTGAGCCTCTTTGATGTTGAGTGGCCAAAAATTAGATTCTGGCCGAGCTCTTGGCCCATCTGGAGGTTTCCCAGACTCTCTTCATCCTCTTTCACCATTACCGTTCTTCGCTGAGATTTTAAGAATGAGAACAATGAAACCCTCTTAACAAATGATCAATGTGAGGTAAATTTAGTCGGAGAGTTTCTTGTCTCATCCTAGAGGT